AGGAATAACTCACTATTCTTTATAAAAATTTTCTAATATAACACATTTGGAAAAGGTTTATAGTTTTACCTGTGATATATATATATATGTATTTTAATATTTTTGCTTGACCTTTGGTTTTAGTTTTAAATATACTATATTGCAGATTTATTTCTTCTATTATCAAGTATTATATAAGAAGTGGTAGTAAACATTCTTACTAATATCAAAAATATTCTACTTTTTTTCAAAAGCATTTAATGATCAGATCTTAAAAAATCACTAATATTATAATTAATAATAGTGATAAGTTTATTAATGTATCCTCAAAGTTATTAATTAATGAGGCTTAGTTATTTAAATTATTATTTTTCATATAAATTTATTTTTGACCTTGTCATAATCTTTAACTTTGTATTTCACAATATTTCACAGTCATTATATTTCTTTTAACCTTCATAAAAGTTATATAAGATGACAACATCATGTATTTAATACACCTTCATATAATATATTAAATGAAAAAACTACTAGAATAAATGTTTCTAACAATAACCATGATAACATAGTGGGTGAAGAAAATTTGAATAATGTTATGTTGAGTGAAGAAAATTTGAATGATGATATGTTGAGTGAAGAAAATTTAAATGATGATATGTTGAGTAAAGAAAATTTGAATGATGATATGTTGAGTGAAGAAAATTTAGACGATGATATGTTGAGTGAAGAAAATTTGAACGATATGTTGAGTGAAGAGAATTTAGACAATGATTTAAGTAAAGAAAATTTGAATGATATGTTAAGTGAAGAGAATTTGAATGATATGTTGAGTGAAGAAAATTCTGATGATGATACATTGAGTGAAAAAAATTTGGACGATAATATGTTGAGTGAAGAAAATTCTGAAGATGATGTGTCGAGCGAAAGTGATAGTATGTTTGGCAAAGATAGTTCTGATGGTAAAATTGTCGATAAATCAATAAATGCTGAGAAAATGCTATCTATTAACAGAGAATTTGCACCATACTTTAAAAATATCACCGAGACATTAATGTTTTGTTGGAATGAGAAACATAATATATGTATATTAAAATAATTTGTCAACTGCAAATGTTTAATTATTACTTTTTTTTTATTTATTTTCTGTAAATGTTTAATTGTTACTTTATTTATTTATTTTTATTTTTTATTTTTTTTTTAATATTAGCTACCTGAGCATATGATGAATTAGTGGATATCATCTATCATCCACAATTTAAAAACACAGATATTGTAAGAAATATTAGACAATTTAGAAAGTATAGACAAAGATTGCCTTTACTTCCAATTAAATCATATCGAATTCGTATTTTCAGTAAAAAAGTGCTATCTACATCAAAAGAATCAAAAAAAGCATATTATTTTTTTATTTCAGATATTATTTGGCATCTACTTAACAACCCATCACTATTCAATAAAATGTACTTTAGTCCAGGCCAAGAAGTAGCAAAAAGCTATGAACTCTGGCATGGTAAAATTTAGAAAGAATTACCAAGATTTGGGTGTAAGTCTGTTGCTATAGGCAAAGGTGATTTTTTTTTTTATATTTTAACTTTAAAATTTTGTCACAGTTGATGATGAAATCGGCTGTTGCTAAAATTTGAGATTGTGATTTGAAAATATAAGCACTGAAAATCCACATATACTCTTTAATTACCAATTCTAACCCTAAACACAAAAAAAAAGCAAGGAAAAGATATACCAAAAAATTTTTTAAAAATTTATATCAAAATAGGCATCAGCCAATTTTAGCATCAGCCGCGACAATTTTTATTAATTTTTTAATATCATCAAAAAGTAATTGTATTCTATTTTATAGTAAAATATTATTCTGAAAACTTTGTAGTTTATAGAGAATCTACAAAAAAGATTGGTTGTATTTTGTCAATAGTTCAAAAAGATGATTGTCTTAAGATCAATATTCAATGCATTCTAACATTTGAAGAGTTGCCGATAAGTCTGCAAAGCAATAGTCATAGAGAAAGATCATTGAGCGGCGAAGTATGGATGCTAGATCAAGAAATGGATAATGCAATTATTATTATTATTTTTTTTTTTTAAAGAGAGGTCTATCCTCTATCTCTTTTATTAATAGTTGATTATACATATATTA